TCATTGTTGTTGAAGTGTGTATGGTCTATAGAAACGTACGAAGAATCGCGTCATTTCCGAGGCCTTTCATCTTTACTTATTTTAAGAATGATGTGCTAATACTATTAAATGAGCAATAAGATACCTCAACGTTTACAATATTTCAATTACCCGCTTATCTCAGGGTGGAGTTACCATGCGAGACCTTTTCCGCACTGTTATCGGAAAGTTTGATTGTTTAATTATTAAAAAAAGGAAAAGATTAGTCAATGATTTTCACGACACATATGCGAAGCCCGTAAATTTTGTTTCTGACACAGGATTAAGGTATCAACAATCAAAAATCCCCCAGTTGTGATATCCTGTGAAGTTATGATTTATGAGGTCCATCTCGTTTTTTTACCTACCGCTATCTATCAGCAGCCATTTAGTCAATTTTAGTCAGTTTTCGTCCTCCTGTTTGCCGGATTAAATTGTTTTCATTTTGAAATGAATACCAATAGAAGCGGTGTGTGTGAGAGATCAGTCTTGGAATTTTCCTCATTAGTACCCCCTGATTTTTATCGCGCATAAAATGATAAATGAACACATAATCCATGGCATGGCGCAACCTTATCGTCAGCTTCCATCGCAATATCGGAACTTTCGTTTACTCATTTTCGCTTATGGATACATACGAAAAAGACCATTTAATGTCTCAATAAAATGGCACAGCGGTTTTGCCTGTTGATAGGTCATGTTTTGATAATATTCTTATCATGAGTATCCCTGGGACTTATTTTCTGTTGCGTAATCTTCAAAATCAAACTGTTCGAAACAAGAATTTCCATTGTCTTTTCTTGGACTTGAATTAATGAGAAAGGGTGAGGTTTCTTTAAAATGGTTACGCTTGGAACTCTGTCGACCGTCTCGCAGTAACATGGAATTACCTGAAACCATAATTGCGTCGACGTTATGCAAAACTGACTATAGGCAGGAACCCCTTGTAGAGGTTTTGATGTTATAGGAGCATGATGTTGAACTTTCGAGATGACACTTGTGTCGTTCCTCACTTACTTTTTATGATGCATGGGTTTATAATGGATATTACATTAACAAGCCGTTAAAAAGTGCCGAAAATGTATTCTAGCCCTGAAAATAAGATCCACGAGCGTACTACCCAAATACCTGTATTATTCTGCATTCTTGGTATTGTAAGTGACTAACAGTAAGGACTGGGAAGGTCTATAAGGGCTGAAGCCTGTCTCTTTAGAGACACACTCAGGCAGTGTCTATATTCCCTATAGTAATATCAATAGACGCAAGATTTGTCTATGGACGAGGTGATTACGTTACTGGATCTTGAGCTATTTCTCCACAAATGTAACTGAGAATGCGACAAGCAAGACGAAATTTTGCATAAATATGTATCAGTTTTCAATTTATTCATTAAGGGTGATTAATGAGCTGAAGGTTAGGATATTACATGTCCGTTCATTAACTCCTACTGCAGGAAATTGATCATACATTCAGACTGACTGATGTTTTCACATATTACTTTCAAAACCTTTAGGTGAAATTAAGGGTGAAGGAGATTTCATCACAGCAGATGCATATTATATAACTGATGAACTATTGGTTACCTAAAGCACCTAGTCTGGGAAAGTAAGCGGAAGTTTCAGTTAGACCTTTGTTGACTAAAGGCACAATATGCTTGAGAAACTGACCTAGGTTTAAAGTAAACTGAGTAAAAATGTAGATCTGTTAATGTAAACTAAGTGCAATTGTACGGAAATAGCCATGGCTCAGTTTTCGAGGCTGTAACTTTCATCTTTCATGGCTGAAACAGGTCGGAAAACAGGACCAATAATTGGGTGATTAATTATTGTTTGCATGGGCTTAAAATGCGTTTTTATCACAAAAATATTATACTTTTTACTAGACTGAGCAAATTCCACACATGTAAATAAACTAGTCGTTGGATTTTATCTCTCAGTTTTCAGATTTAATAGCTATATGGCGCCATGAAAAGTGTGCTTTTGTGATAAGTAATCCACTTACATAAAAAGTGAAGTGGAGTAGCCGAGCGCTGCGACGCTGTTGTGAAATGGTCGTAATTAATCCGATAACCTAAAAACGGAACAAACAAAGTGAAACTATTTCACTCTGCTACTTTTAATGCCTCCCTATTCTCATTGCTGACGAAAAAATCCCTTTTCAATCGCTGTTATGGACACTGAAGGTTTTACTACAGTCGACTCTCTGTTAACGGACACCTCTATAAGACGGACACCTCTGTAAAACGAACACTTAGAGTTGGTCCCTGCCTTTCTCTACTCCCTTCATTTGACTCTCTATAAGACGGACACCTTTCTAAGACGGACACTTAGTGCCGGTCCCGAAGGTGTCCGTCTTAGAGAGAGTGGACTGTACTATTAATCAACATGCCTGATCGGTCATTCCAGAAATATCAATTGCATAAGTTGAGCGGTTACATAAAAAGAAAACCTAACTACTATTCTTATTTTTTAACTTACAGCAAGGCTTAGAGCCTGCGCGGTGGGTTGAGATGGTTGTACTGATGGCTCTGTTTTCTCTTCGTTCAATACATGGGAAGAACCTGTCTTATTCAGAATATTATCAATAGAAAATGAATTACTGGGCATTACCAAGTAGGGTGAAGCATTGTCCGCATTCTTACCCAGCAACCTCCCGCCAGCCTCACATGTGTGATGCAGTTGTGTGAGCTGCCCAGGTGAGGTGAAAATACAATTAATATCTGACATTGATAAATGTTAACGGAAACTATTAAGAATCCTAACAAGAACCGTAAAAATAGCCATAGGCGGTTTGTTTTACCAAAGACGAGGTAAAAAAAATTAGTGATAACACATTGCATAATCATTCCTTGTATCAAACAACAATTCTCGGTTGACCAACTACCACCGTTCAGACACTGTTCAGTTTGATGCGGTTGATCATAAGAACTACGATTTGTACCAACAAGTAGGGTTCAGGGGCACCCAACGAATTTTTCTGTAAAAACAAAAAAAAAACTGTTCGAAGGAGCAAATATTGCCTAAATATTTCTTGGCTTTCCAGTGGCGGTGGAGAGAAATAAAAAGTGGGGGCACTCAAAATAAAATTGGACATTCAATTTTGTTTCGACCCCCCCCACCCCTTTTCCCCCAAATAAGCAATAAAAAGCGGCCTCTGTCTTTTTTTATAAGCCGCCAACAATTTAGCCTGTTCCCGGCTTTCGGGCGAAGTACGGCGTGTTCCTCACCATCTGAACGCCTAGAATAGGCTAACAACATTTTGGACGCCTAGGATGCAATCTTCAACGGTGCCGACAACAAAAACCACTCAGGGTAGCCTTCTGTAGGGGGATGGGGAGAAGGAAGAGCGAAGGAGAGAGCGAGCTGCAAAGCGGCGACAAGGAGTCTCGAAGCGGCTCGACGTTTACTTAAACTTTCCAAAATAGTCCTAATGAGTTGACCGTGGTAAAATAAAAGAAAGTTATTTATTATCCTACAAAAAATGCCGGGGGGCCCTCTGCCCCCCAGAATAAGCTTTCCTAAATCTTCTAATTACATTTTATCAACTGAGAACAAAATGTCATTTGTATTGCACTAAAGTAAGAGGGAAGAAACCATGCCGTTGCCCGACCTCAATTTTAGGGAACTTATTTATGACTTACAACCATTTCCCAAGCAAACATTCTTCCTAGCTGTAGGAAGTAATTTGCCATGCCTACACATACACTCTTGGTCAAACCTGATTTTCGGCGGTAACACAGGTTTCTGTCAACATAATAAGTACAAGATTGCCTTAATTTAGCATGCAACTCTGCTTCTATTACAGCAACGCGAGTGGCAGCTTACATTGGCCTGTCTCTCAGACCGCACGCTGTTTTTCGTTTTCTGGATCTTTTTTCACTGGCACCTGCACTTTTGTCTGTTTGCCGGCGTTTGAAATTATGATCTATAATCTGTTTCAATCCTTTTTAAGAACTCACCTCGGAGTGGAAGCCTAGGGGAGACGGTTCAATAGCCTTGGAATTTGTACGTTAGTTTTGTTTGTTTGTTTTATTTTGCTCTGTTTTTTCTTTTTCTCTTTAATAGCTGAACGGCGTAGTTTTATTTTTCTTTATTTTATTGAACGAGTGAACTGGATTTTTAAAAAAAAGCATAAAGTGGCTAATTAACGGACGTATTTATGAGGTCTTGATGCATGATATGACATCATTATCGACAGGAGACCCTGTTGCTTTTTAGAACAAACATGACAGGCTTCACTCCAAATTTAGTCCTTAAACCTGACGAACGAGGGCGTTGTATGAATCCGCACATTTGCACTCGGGCCGGTGGGAGCAGTAGGTTGAATCATGACCTAAAAAACGGTCCACTGATTATTGTTAGTGAGGAAACTAGGACCAGTTTCTCGCTCTTTCCTTTTTCACGCCAACTAAACTTTTCAAAACCCTTAAGGAAATCAGATTACATTCAACGTTCTCTTCAGAATGGGCAACTTGAGCAGCTACTCAAAACACTGAGGTCCCGGCCATGGCCCAACGGTATCCATCTTTTAGCAGTGAAACGTGCATTCTGCTGGTCAGAAGATTGGGAGTAGTACTGCCGTTTTTGTTCGACGTAGGTCAGTTCATGAACTTACTCTTAACGGACATCTCCCTAAACTTGACGGACACCGAGGGTTTGAGCTACTGTTTATACTTATAGACCAAAATACAACTTTGACGAGGAAAATAATTCCAGAAACCACTTTGGTAACTTAATTGTAAGACATGATGTCTCAAAAAGAGTTGTGCAAAATTTCGACTTCATTTCGAGATATTGTTGTTCAACAAATTGTAACATTCTGCCTTACAAGTGACTGTAATGGTATCCTTCATCGGACTAGCATGTTGGATCCTATAGTTTAAACTGTCAGATTGTTCTGTCCTGCTGTTTTTAATTACTTTCCTCTGACCCTCCTCTTAATAGTGCTGGTCTTAACTGTCTTTGAGAGATCTGACTTCATCTTTAGTTGGTCCATGTACGTCCAAAATGTACATGATTTACTCCATGATTATTGGTGCATGGCAAGCTGTGATATCCGTTACTGTGTGCTAACTGTCCATGATATGTAGGAAACTGTGTGTGCATTTCTGAGGGCAATCCACGATGTCTAAGTGCAGGCTCCAAAATATCGCTGTAGTTGCAATAGTATGGCATAGCTGTCGTGTTACACCGAAAACAAGGTGAGGGTTCTTGAATTTGAGGTGCGTGACAAACGATAGTCTCTTCCTCTTCGTTTTCGTGGTTATCTGGTGATAAATAACGCTTGGTCTCCTTGCGATATTTGGCACGTCTGTTCTTAAACCAGACCTGATATAAACGCAACGAGGAAAAATACTTGAAATTAAATGTGCCTAACATTTAACAAGCGTTCCTCTCCTTTTTAATGAACCTTCACAAAGTTATAACTCGAACTTCCCTAAGTTTTACTTAGCGGTAGTAATACTAAATGTTAGTGTTTTGCCCAAGTAGATTGCTTTTTTAAATTTCAAGATACAAAGCATGGTCGCAGCAGCGCCTCTAGTTGCGTCACTATGACTAAAAACTTGTTTTCATCGCGCACTTAAAAAAGAGTTGTTTTTTTTGTTCATTAGAGAAACGTTTCGGCAAAAAAGATGCAGCGTTTCTCAGTCAAACCTGCAAATTGAAGCAGGAAGAGTTTTCCTTGTATGTATTTGCCAGCGTGGTCCTACACCGTTTTATGCCGCAGTTAATGTGACTTTTGTTGTTTCCTTTATGTCACATATGTAATTTTTTAAAGAACAGAGTTAAGTTAAGGTTTACGGTGATTGGAAAGTTTGTGGTGTAAAAAGTTTAATGAGTTAACTAAAATTTCAGGGAGCAACCTATCCGTAGCGTGCTTCCGCAGATAAGAGTGGGTTAACTTAAAAGTTAACGTCTCTCGCCCTCTTTGTTAAACCCTTGTTTAAGACTTATTTGGGGGCCCAGACACACGATTCCCCCTTTCCTGGAGACTTTTACATCTATTTAAGCAGTACACTGTAAATCGAAAAGAACTGGGGCTGTTTCGGTGAGTAAAATACAGTCATATTTTTTAGTCTAATTTGGCTCCCTTAAATCAGGGCCAATACAGTCTAATTACCAAGGGTTGATTTGGACCCAAGGGCTGAAATGGGCCCCAGCGTGGGATGGAATAGCCTTTTGATTGAGCTGTTTTAGTCTAAACTGTGCTCAAATGGCTCCAAAAGGGGCTGAATCAGACTTTGGCCTGCAGGGCTGAAACAGATCTTTTTAATTTTCAGTGTTAACATTCTACAGTATGTTCAATCCCCGCCCTACCCCCTTGCTGGATTTGTTCTCGGTAGTCCCGACTTCAACTCCTCAGTCTCGCTTGTAAATAGCTAAGTGGTTTGTCTCAGGCCAGTTGGGATTCTTACTCTCTTTTATCGGTTTATTTTCTAATATTTGTTTCTGTCCCTATTTGTCGGCAACAATGAAAGCTACCTGTCTACCAGTTATTTGGCACCCCTATAAAAGTCATTATTAATAAGTCATATTATTATAATTTGCGCTGGATCATCTAAACGCACAACGCTAATTCACCTGAATCCTTCCTTTTTGCAGGTTGGTCTTTTCAGCAAGTCGTTCCCTTAATTCTACATCCGGATAATGTGTTTTACTGAAAGATTTTTCCAGAACTCCAAGCTGCTGATGAGTAAAGGCTGTACGCGTACGTCGTGGAGTACGGCGAGTATTCTCTTGGCGAGCTTCCAAGATAACATCTACCGAAAAGGTAAGTTCTAGTCAAAGATAAGCTTTCATTTTCTCTGTATAAGTTTGGTACTCATTTTATCAGATAGCAGTAATCTGTTTGCCAATACTATCGAAACTTTCTCATTGGACACTCTAGTAAGCGGACAGCTCTATTTACGGCAACCTCGACAAAACCCTGTTTGAACTCTCCGCTTACGAAAACCATTCCTCTAACGCGCCCAGCTTCTGAGTTTCCAACACCGGCCTTTCCTGCTTGAGAGGATAGCCGGCAATGATCTTCGAAAGAATAGCCTGAGGGCGGCTTTAAGAGACACAACACAAAGAAAGTCTGGGTGACCTTAACTTTTAAGCTGGTGTTTTGAAAAGTTTAAATGAATTAAGCTTAAGTGATTTTCGCTGGGCGTTTTCGAACAACTGACGAAGAATTATACAGCTAGAAGAGCAAGTGACCCTCGTTACTTGGATTGTGCAAGGTACAGATGGAGGGGCTAAGCACATGGTAATTCAATTAACCCTAATCCGATTTGAGATTGATAAATGTAGCTTAATGTCCCCGTCGCCTTTCTTATCAAGGTTTTCGAAAACAATCTACATTTCTGCGTAAGCCAGTTAAACACCGAAACTACATGAAAATAAAAGAATGCACTGCGAGGGCTAACAAGGTACGCTGCGATAATTCAAAAGTAAGCCAAGGTTGTTGAAAATAGCGTAATAAGAAGTCGAGTTTTGCTAAATTCCTTCGACACTGCCTTTCGGGTCAGTGCCATGGTGCAAGATACAAGAAGTTAATTGGGCGCCGTAACTTCGCCAGCATAAAAAAATCGTCCAAGTTTCGGTAACTTCAGCGACATACACCTGTAATTTGTCAAGGATCAAGCTTGAACTTTAAGGACCCTTTTTAAACTATTCTTATATCAAGGGATTAAGGTATTAGCTAAAAAAATTCCTTCCATCATCGAGCCTCTGTGAAGTATGATTTATAACAAGTTGTATCCATCAGCAGCCATTTAGCCAGTTTATGTTAAGGCTTACGACGTGTGCGTAAGATTAAATTGTTTTCATTTCCAAATTCCTACCGACAGAGAGAATACGTAGGTATCGCCTATCAGATCAGTATAGTTGATAATATGGCTTTTTAAAAGAATGGGCCTTTGTTCAATTTCTTAGTTTACCTTTCACCGCTTTTGCAAACAAGTTCTAAGTTATGTAATAACACTTTCCTTTTGGCAAGTTTCGTTTCTTCTTTCAACATGTGAAACACAGCTTTTCGAGTTAACGAGAAAACTTGTCTGTGCGTCTTGAAGCTTCGTCACAAATATTGAGGGAAAGGAATGGTATTTTGAAAGCTCCGCTGTCCGTTTTCTTACATTTAGAATATACTCTTCAAGTGATATAAAAAATATGCCTGATTAATGGCTTAAAGCCGCGAGCACACGTCTGGGGGATGTATCTCCCCTCTGAAAAGCCATACAAGGGTGCACTTCTCTTCGTATTTTTGGTATGGGTTCATACAGCCGCCCTCTTTCGTCCCTGATTTTGTTTAAGGGAGAGGCGGGTATAGGCTCGATTTCCGCCGTCTCCCGGGTCCGGTCTTTGATCGGGGGATGAGTGCTGGCTCATTTTCCCGAACAGCGGCTGGTAATCGAGCCTAAGGCGGGTATGGGTATCGATGTCAGAGTTAGAGACCTGGTCTAAAAATACATTGAGAATACTCTGACAATTATAATTTTATGTACAAAACATCGAAGAGTTGCTCCAGGCGCTTCCATTTTCTGCCATTTTATCAAGATTTTTCTGTTACAGAAGAATTAAAAAAGAGAATAGGAGCAAATATTGTGTTCAAATTCAACGTAAATGTGAAATTAGTTTGATGAAGCGCAAAAAGAGAAGAGCTGAAGAGAGAAAAAGGCGCCCTACCCACGCACGCAGATTATGACAGAAAGGTGGCTGATAAAATAAATTAATTAAAACAACACTTACTACTAATTTCTAACACCTGACAAAGCTAAAGGGATTACCTTCAATGGGTGCAATGTGCAATAGTGAAAAAGGTTTGTATTATCTTAATTACGTAAAATTAATTGCTGAACAGCGTTCGAGAAGATCTCCTCTTTCCAAATACCACATAAAAGAAACAGTTTTTCATAGATCACCGAATTGTGTCGTTATTGTTGTTGTTTTTACCGAGATCTCAGGTATCTCTTGTCGGCGCCAACTTGGTTAGCAGAAAAGCCTTTCGCTAGTTTGATAAGTAACGATTAGCGAAAGGTCACGTAAATATCGAAACGGTAAAATTTACTGAAGTTTATGTGGATCATTTTTTTTTCTTCTTCTTCTTCTTCTTTTCTTTTAAAGTTTTCAATTTTCTTAGTCATCATGCCCCAGTTGGCAAACTAGTCACTTAAAATCAGTGTTTGTTATCTTCGTGGAGTTGGAGCCCAGAGGAGATTGATTTCCATCGCATGTAATTGTCGCTCCTTTTTGAAAGCAAAACCCATGTGCTTTCACAAAGCCCTAGTGATAAATTTATACTGCGATTTCAATATCAACTGAAAGGATATTTTGAGGGGTTCTTTTCAAGATACTCGGCGTGTACTCGTTATTTTTTGTGAAGGTCTTACCCCTCGTCTCGTTATGGCCCTTAAGAACTTGGATAAAAACCTTTTTTGAAAGGAACACCTCTTCACTCCTTGTTATCTTGTTTACGTTAACTTTGCAGTTGAAACCATACTATCACCTTAGCTGTCTAAACAAGATTGGTTAATAGAAAGGGTCAATATTAACATCCGATGAAACAAATTTGCTTTAAAAGTGGACTTTCAAAAATAAAGTGAAATCTTAATGCTGAGAAAGGACCAGGCCATAGCATACTTACTTGTCTTTCTTGAGTATAACTTAAGCCAGCGTTCCTTCAAGTTTACGTAGGCTTATTTTAATTCAAACAGCTGCTGTGGAACCTCGATATAACGAAGGGCCAAATTTGTTCGCTATATCGAGGTTTCGTTATATCGAGGGTATTTTTCATATACTTTACTATTACTGGGGTAAAGAAAATCATTCGTTATACCGAGGACTTAGAAATTATAGAGGTTCGTAATATCGAGGTTGCACTGTACAGTGAAATCCCAGGGTACTGTTAAAATGCATTTTTTATTACGGGGACCCTTAATATTGGGATCGTGTCCAATACACCTGAATAGACTCTGATATCATCGGGGCCAAAAACGTCGTTCAATATAAATCGGGTTTCCAATGTATGCTTAGGGTTAGTAGTTTCTAAGCCGAAGATTAAAACCATTTCATTCATGTACAGTTTAAATTGCTTCCTTTCAAGAAAGTCACTTATAGCACTAGATTATTAAAACCTTTAACCTTTCCCAACCTTAAACATAAATTAACTTAAACTTACCAGCCAGCTTTACAGCTAGCGACAGTGCCTCGGATGATTTCGAAGGTTGTGCCTCCTTCACCTCTTCCTCTACATTGGGCGAAGAGCTGGTTTTCTTTAAAATGCTATCAATCGAGAACGGGTTAGCCTCCATAGACACCCGGCTTTACACTGCAAATGCTCAAATGAAATCTCGTTTGAAGTGACTAGGCTTCTCAGTGTAGATTACCAGCTGCAAATGTAATTACCCTGTGTTCCATGACAGTGATAAATGTACCCGGAAACCGCCTAATAAAGTCCAACCGATGGCCTTACCGGGTCTTTTTTTATCGTAGAAGTCACCCTGTGTGGTTACTCTTTGCAAAATAAAAACAAGATACTGTTTGTTTAGTTACAAGCATGATGAACTTAGGATTGAAGAATTTTATTTGGACATCTTTTACCCTTCATCCAGACGTTATACCTGGCCTTTGTTTACTCCGTTGGACGAAAAATTTTTGAAATTTCTTCCACGATAACAGAATCACTTTTTGAGAAGGCGCCAGAATGAGTCGTATATTCAAGAGAAATGCATGGTATTAAAGACAGCTGAAAACTACATTTGCCTTGATCATGATCCAAAGGTAGGGTTAATTTTGCTTAGTTTATCTTTCGGTGTACCCTTAAATATCTTCCATTGTATCCGATTCCAAAATATTTCGGCCTGACTACCATAAAGATTTTTTCTGGAAAGTTGCTCCCAAATTTCTCAAGAATGAACTGTAACTCCGAACAACAGAATAAGGGGGTTAAAAAGACAAATCCACACTCGGTGTTCTCAGAAAAGGAATTTTTTTCGACAATTATCTATCAGCAGCCATTTAGTCAGTTTATTTTAGTGTCTGCCAGATTAAACTGTTTTTGTTCCCAAATGCGCGTCGATAGAGTCAAAACAAGTGGGATTGACTTTTTAAAGTTTCAAGCACCTTTTCTGACTCTTTTTATCCAGACAGCGGACAGTTTTCGAGTCAAAATAAAGCAATTTAAATGTAAATCTAAATAAAAACTTGCTAAAGTAACTTGTTTAAGAGGAAAAGATAGCCAGCGAGCTGCGGCTCACTTGCGCGAGTTGGGGGCAAAATTTGGAGTGAGCCAGCTAGAAGAATGTTAAGAGCGGGAAAGGTGAACGTTTTCCTCGTTCGTTCAATTTTTCCTGCCGCGGGTAGCCTGCGTAGCTGGCGGGATTAGCGTGGGAGTGCTGTATTGTTTTGGCGCCGGAGCCTGGGCGCGAGAACAGTGGGTACAGGTCAATTCGCGTGGCAGCCGAGCTGCTAAGAAAGTACCCTGGGCACCAGATTCCCCCAGCGGGGTTACGCCGCCTCGAGCTGGCGGCTGTTGGTGCCGTCGATTTTCCCTAAACTCGCACAAGTGAGCCTGCTTGCCGGCTAAGGAAAAGGTTAACTTTAGTTAGTGTAGCCGGGATAACAGTAGCCTGCGTGGCAGGCGTTTGAAAGGGAAGGGGAAGGGAATTAGGGCTCGAGACCACGCGTGAGGGAGGAGGGAAACCTCCTTCCTCGCGCGCCCCTCGCGTTTCTCTTGCGCCTAAAACTCCCTTTCCCAAAACTCCCTTTCCCTTCCCTTTCAAACGCCTGCCACGCAGGCTAGAATAACAGGGGTTACTTTATGGGAGAGGAACAGGCAAAAGACAGTTCAAAACATGCTGGCGCCATGGTTGACACTTTGCCAAACATACATTGTCACAAATGCTTATATTCAGGAAGTTGTCTTGAAAGTATCAGTTCATAGACTATACGTGTGTCTCGATTATTGATTGTTGCTGAAATCTAATTTTCTTTAGTTGACTCCATCGAAAGAGATCGTTGATAGTCAAATTTTTTGGTAAAAATTTGGATGGTTGTTCGTAACGTTAGGTTGCGCACAATAAAGACATGCTTCTATCTTTTAATACTACAGAGGTAGCGTCGGCATTTGCAATAGGATTAAGTTGTACAACCAGGACGGCAATATGTTCAATGATTTTGAAATACCGTACATGGAAAAATTTTCTTGAATCTGATTAACTGAGATTGATACAGTTTTTAGTACTCATAGTGTAAAAACATCAAATATCTGCAAAAACAAGGAAACAGAATGCAAATTAAATATCTCAGAGATTGAAGAACTGTGATTGCCTGGTAAGCAATATAAATGCATAAGAACCAATGAGGTGCCCAATTCTTTATTGGTGAGGCGTGAGACTGGGTCGTTAGTGTCGAATTGCACTATGAGACTGTTTTGGAGACGAATTACTGATTAAGTCATTTCTTCATATGATACCGTATACTTCCGACTGTAAGCCCTGGCTTATACAACTTCGTAACGGGTTTAAGGAGGGCGGCTTAAAAATAGCCGGATTAAAAACAGTGTCTCAAAACAGTGCTGATCAAAATATAGTCTCATCGCTTTTTTAAGCTTCAAAACGTTGTGAAAAATTAATTTATTTCAATACATGCCAGAGGAGGGCTTATATTCAGGAGGGGAGCTTTTAATCGGATGTGTTTTTTTGTTAAAAGGTAGCCTTGTATTTGAGGGTAATCATACAACTTTGCTCGCTCGATTTGGAATTTATTTGCACTAGTGTGTTTTTCAACTGGCTCACTCATGAATTGACTAGGAAGTCGTGTGATTACCTATGCAAACAACAATTTTTGTTTCATTTATTTGCTGTCACTTCACAACTGAACTACGAAGTGAAAATGCCCGATGCGACGCTCAGTGGAAGAGTATTAGCACCAGGAATCCAACTCTTTCTCTTTCCAAACTTGGATATGTTCTTAATAATTCAATTCCTAACGAATTTGGCTACAGTTGAAAGTTGGAGTTCATGGATAAACAGTGATAAAGCCTCCCAAAAAAGAACACGAAATTACTTTATGGATAACTTTTTCGCTACCAGATTCACGAAGAGTGCTCGGATTTGTGATTATGCAAAGGAGACTACTGATGTTGTGTTAAGTTAAGAATCCTAATTATGGCCTTTAAAAATAATTCAACTTTCTTTTCTAGGTGTTGGAGCGAAGCCTCGTGGTATTTATTGAATACTGATCATGAGGAGGTGTTGGGGTGAAAACTGTGTAGCATGTGCGTATTAGGGTTCTGCTCTACCATCCGGGTGGAGTCACAAAATGTATAGGGATTTAGGCAATGGAAAAATCAAAAAAGAAAATTAAAACTTTTCGTATACGTTTTACTGTATATGTTTCGTGTAAGGTCAATTTTTTTTAACCTGGACTGTTCATAGTCCTCTATTTTTCCGTAAGATCATCGAGATAGAGCGCTTTGTGTTACGGGCTGTCATCTTGCTTGGGACTGTGAACAGTCTATTTTAACCTAGTAATTTTTTGAAACAGTTGCACACATAATAACTAAATTAAATCCGATCGAAAACACAACAAGAAAGGGAAAAAAGACGAAAATAAATAAAGGTGGGCAAGGGAGTAGTGGATAATGAGATATAAATTAAAAACAACCATGTTTGTAGTTGATAGAGCCTGTAGTCAGTTTGCTTACGAAAACATCCGTTTCTCCTCTCTCTTCGCCGCTAGGGACGTTTCGTTTCGTTCCTCCGCGCGAAACGTCTCCAGCGGCGAAGAGCGAGGAGAAACGGATGTTTTCGCAGGCTAGTAGTCAGTGAGAATGACGAGAAAATATTAAAAAGTGGTTAAATGAATTTTTCAGAAAGTAAGAAATGGAATATGATTTCGTTGTTGAAAGTGTGATAACTACATCGCTACATTGTCTTAGTCGGAGAAGGGTATTGCCTAAGACTAACTACTTGCCTAGATTTGCTTTCTTGTAATCGTTTTATCACTTGAGTATCTCGTATTGTGAAAGTGTTTTGCAATAGCATATTGCTTAGGTACCTTTTTTTTTTTGTTTATTAGGCCAGACTGAAATTCATACCCATAGATGTGGAAATAGAATTGTATGATTTATTGTGTGAATGCAACAACAAAAGCGCTAAAACTTAAGCCTTAAGATAGACAATCAAACTTTAATTCCTTTATTAACGATACTTTACGTACAAATTGCCCATGAAAAAGTACGAAACTCGTAGAGCTTGATATATTACAATCATGTGTATAAATAGGTATAAAATATTAACAATCCTTCTCTCTTCTATGTTGCTATAATAAAGCTATTAATGGTTTATAAGAATTTTTTTACAACCGCTTAATATTTATAGATACTTCTCTACTAAGAGAGCATTTTTGCTACAAAAAACCGCATGTAAGAACATCGATTTTCCCAAGTTAACTTTAACAATAGTTCGTACATAAATGGTAATCAGCATAAATGTAGGCTATTTAGGTTCTTAAATAGGTTCTTCTTTTCTGAAGGAAAAAATACCTTGTAGCTAATAGAATTTTATGGAAGTATTCACCCCTGATTCCTTATATAAAATCTGCACCCATTTTTACATAAATATTTATTTGGCATGTCATAAGCTGATAAGGAGTATTGAATCACTGAACACATGAATTTAGAATTTAGAAACGTTTCATGGTCTAACGCTTGAAATGAATTGCTAACATGGATCTGCTTATGCAAGAGAAGCGTATGTTTGATTAATTTACTATTTGCAGGCAGAATGGTTTGTGTACCCTATGTAAGAATGTTTGAAGTATGAGTATGAGCAATTTAACATCTAAATAAATAAATGTAACTATCCGCTTAAACCGCCACGCCGTATCTTAAGTCCAATAAATTTTTAACTCCGATCATTAGTCTCTGTTATAATGAAGGTCAGTTTTCTACTCCATAGGGGTAAAATGGGTCTGACTGCAAGCAGCAAAAGACTGGGTAAGAGAGCGAATATCCCCAAAAAGCCCCACTTTATAGGTTAATCGCGTGGTCCCACTCTTGCTTCTTTTGATGAGAAATTGTCGAGAATCTTATAAAGTATGTAGTCTTTTAGAGCTTTAATATCGTTACCTGTCCCTTTTTTTCATTTTATCACTTCTTGCTGGAAAAATGGTGTCACGACTTTAGATATCATGGAATATCTAAAGACAGTACCTGAACAACCTTTGAAACAAGGATTCTAAGCTAAAATAAATTGGCTTCTGAAAAAATGTCCATCCACTGAAGAGATAGTATAAAGTTTTGTTACATTCCCGCCGTTTTGTTAAAATGTAATGTAGGGGTAGGAGTCAGGAACGGCCGGGACAATTTTACAACGAGCACGTTTTCCGCTCTGAGCAGCTTTATAATATCATGGTTTTTTATCCCAACATGTCTCTCTTCTTCTCTTCTTGAATGCATTCAGTTTTTAACCGTAAGCATTGCCGCGCATTTATCCACATATTCAGACGATTAATTTGCCCTGAACCTCTGGGCCGGCAAAATCAGTGAATGATCCCTACGCCAGCGTACAGCTGCTGTATGGTCATTGGGGTAGGACGATAGTTAAGACTGTCATATAGCACAGACCAGTTAGCCATATATGGGCTTCCATAACCTGAGGATAATCGAGGGTCAATTGGGAATGTGTGTGCAACGTATCCAGAACTAACTGGTGTTGGGCGCGCAGGAATTGTGGGGTAACCTTCTTGAGTTCGATCACTTTCGCACTTCTGTCGTTTGCTGGGCGGGAGAGAAGACTGATCTTCTGGTTCAGCTGTGTCCCTGCCATTGTTACTGTCGTTGTTTCCTGTTTCTTGTCTCTCCTCTGTCTCCCTGTCTTCGGTTTCCTTAGATCCTTTCACTTTGCGATACTTAGCACGACGATTTTTGAACCAAACCTGAAGTAATTTCAACGCAGAATCCAGTTAATAGACCTACTCGGCTAACTCAATGTGAATGCCACATTATAATGCAAATACTATACAATACACAAAGAATCTTAACCCTGGGAGATTTGAACTGCTTACAACATTGAGTTAGTGGAATATAGGTCTATTACACACACTTTCACTCAGGCATGAGCATTTGCGTGACTATTGAACCGAAAAACTTTGCGTAAGGAAAGAGGGTCTAGAAAAACCACCTTGGGCCCAGTTCCTCGAAGCATGGTTAGTGTTAACCAGCGTTTAATACCTTGACAACGTACTGGTTTTGATACTGCTTAACCAATGGTTAAAGCTAACCATGCTTTGAGCAACTCAGCCCTGTCGCTAAAGAATTAACTGGTAAACTATTTAACTTTCGCTCCTTTTCTCAATGTTGCTTCTGCTATATTAATATTCGAGGCTTTTTGCACCCTTACTTTGTTCAATAAGTTATTTTCAGTTTTTTGTTGGTCAAGCGTTGTGTTAAGCCTGTGGTTCGTAATCTGCCTTAATCGGCGCCGTCTGAACTCTCAGTAGGGAGTTTAAGATACCACAACGGTGACGGCCACGAAAAGGTCGCTGTCGCAATTGCTCCAACTCATTTACTTTGTCAAATGCAAGCGAACTCTTTTTGAGCCGAATTCCTAAGAACTATATTCAAGTTCAGAAAGAGAAACAAAATTTAGCCGTCGCTTGTTTACGTCCTCCATAAAACGTGAGATTTGGCATTTTCCCGTCGTAGTCGGACAGTGACTGCAAAGAAATTTACAATAAAAGTGCGATGCACGTGCAGAGTTGTTGTTTTGCCTGCTCAACCACTTTTGTAACGATTTCGTTGTCGTCGCCCTCGTGGCATCTTAAAGTCCTTAGTCACTTGCCACTTCAACGCTGTTTAAAAAAGTCTCCCACGAAGACTCTAAATATAGCCCCTGGTCTAAATCCTTTAAAAACCATTTTTCAGATGTTTTAACTTAAGTACTACAAAAGAAATTTTATTTACTTTCATGGTACCTATGTATTAAGAACTTGGCAAAAGTTGAATCCAGTGGAAACTCAACTCGTACTCAATTGACTGGCAAATGTAATTTCACGTGGACTTATTTGACGTTTGTTACCCCTCTTTAGCTGCCGTTTTCACAGATCCTTTAAAGAGTTATAACTTTATATTCTAATCTCGTTTGTAAATTGCGCTTAATCCGCTAAATCCCTTTGTTTTTGCTTAGGTTCTTCTATTGAGCATGTTGAAGTTATTTTTAGGTTAAAACTCTTAAGATAGAACCCCCCTTTAAAGTTTGCAAATAGTAAACAGTATCTAACCATAACTAACATAAGATGTTCAGTGAAAGGTAAACTAGTAATTCTTTTATTTTGCAATCTGAGAACGAGAAACCTTACATTATTTCTTTAACCCTTTAAGCCCTAAGAGTGATCAGCATCAAATTTCTCCTGGTAATATCACCGCTTTATAAAACAGAGTGATCATGAGAATCAAGGACATGATCACACTAGATGAATCTAATTGATACTTCAACAAATTCTCCCCGCTACTTCTATTGAAAACGTATAGTGATAACTGATGAGAATTTGAAGTTTGATGTGAGGGTTTAAAGGGTTAACACTTATTACTTTTCGTAAAAAGCCTCGCCTCACCGCCGCAACACTGCGCAAATTATGATTAATGTTGAACTTAAGTTATTTTAAGGTCAACCCGAGTTGCACTGAAAAGTTTGTCGGTGAGAGGAAGTTGTAATCATTTGCATTCCACCTTTAAATCATATCAACTTTTTACTGTCAGTAGTACTTTTTGAAATATGGGGTTTCAAATCTTTTTTCGGCCGATGTAACTTTTAACTACTAATCTAAGGGCGCTTTCCATAATCAGAACTGGCCGGCTACGATGGCCGAACCTTTCATTTTGAAAATAAAATAGACTTTTCCAAGCGTTTTTAGTGAAAAACCATTTCCTTCGTGCATGTTATTTAGGAGTTGACTGATCTGCCCGGACAATTTTGATTAAAAGTGAAATTCTCGTTACGACGCGAATGGGTTGGCTGGTCAGTTCTGACACTGAAAGGAAGGTGCCTTCAGTTTTGTTTATTAGTTCTGGCGAAAAACTAACCTGAATTCGTGATTCTGGCAGACTCGTGTAGGCTGCTAACTGCTCTCGTAGCATTAAATCAGGATAGTGGGTCCTTGCAAAAGTTCTTTCCAGGGTTTCGAGCTGGAACTGGTTAAATGTAGTCCTTGTTCGACGAATCTTTCTTCCCTCCATGCAACTGACTTTGAGTATGATATCTGTAATAAAAGTTTTATTTTCCCTTTATTTTCGATCGTCAAAATATAAATTATCTTTTCTTTTATTCATACGTTTCTCTTAAAACTAACACCAAGATATTCACACATTTTAAATGCTCATGGCCGTTATATACTGATACTGAGTACAAGAAGCTGATTTGTTACTTCGCTTTATTTGTGTCACTAGTCAGTGAATGGGGCCGTATCTCTAACTTGTAACCTGAAAAGTCAGTGCTACTTTCAACTAAGTTAAGTTTGACTGACACCAGAAAAATCGTATATAGGCCAACGATTACAACAGATACACAGAATGGCGGTAAAATTTCATTCAAGCGTTACAGAACTTTCTTTTAAGAATAGTAAGTGGCCCTACATGTGTTAACTTTTTGTTATCTGTGTACAAGTGAACCAGATTAATCACAGGAGTGCTTTGTACATTGTTCTTAAGAAATGAACTTTTCGCCATTGTTTATTCAATTTTGTAAATTGGCTCCTGCTCGAGGTCGGAAAAGTTTCTGATGTGACAGCTACGACTCATGACTCCCTACTTTTTATTAAAGTTTGGCTATAATTTCCGGTTCGTCTTTAATGGCCACTACCAGACAATAAATAATTAATTCTTGATTATAGAATATTAATATTTAAAAGAAGCCTTCAAAAGAGGTGTCCCTGAAGACGAAAATTTCATCTTTGACGCAAGAAAAGAAGGAGAAAAATAGACATAAAGTGGAATGTTCTTTTTTCTTTTTTTTTAAATGAGTTATACACTCTTATTCCATGTTATGACGTAGTGTCACAGACAACTTGGATAAGTACTATAGATGATGCGTGTGCAATTGACAAAGGATAGACCCTTAGCGTTAAGAGTGTATCCCTTCAGAGACGAGACGATACTCCAATTAAAGCACTATCCTTTGTTTCTTTTGTAAACGCCCTGCTTGGCTGTCAGACGATGCATGGGATAAAAATAGAGAGAGAAGCAACTTTGTACATACAGATTAAACAACTAATTTTGGGAAACTTTATCAACTTCTAGTCGCTGTGTAAACTGTAGCACCTGGGCTTGTCCAGGAGTGTAGTTAATTGGCTCCTCTGGACTGACATATCATGCCAATAAATCTGATTAAGGTTCCTCTTATTGAATCAACGTGCACTAGATAAACGCAAACAGGGCATTACATGTTTGTCAAAACTGACAGTTACAATTATGCACAACAAAGGAACAATCCTGATGACGATTAATGGGACTTTTTAGGGATCAGCGCTAAAGAAATGCACGTAAGAATATTTGGTCCTCTTCGAGACGACGACTAAGGCAACACCCTACTGTGGAACTTAATTAGACCAAGAACCATAACTTTCACCATCAAATTGCATAAAAAATGTTACACCGTCGGTTGAATTGATGCATTACAAATGTCATGCTTTTTATAGCCAGAGTATTGTTAATAGAAATCATTGAAAAAATGATAAATCATTAGTCTTATTCACTGTTTTCAGCCTGAAGTCTTGCCAAACGTCAGTCCTGAAACGTTAACTAAAAGAAGTTTTCCTTACGTTATGATTAAGTCTATGAAGAATTGAAGTTAGACATCGATCAGCTCAGGACAGTTTAGTTTCTTTTATTATTCAACATGTCCTTACCTAGTTACAAAGTTGACGTATTTCAAAGTTACATTATTCGTACTAAATCACCTGAGTTCGAACATTTTTAAGGCGGATGACGCAAACTGTTTCGCACATGCAGCGAAAGGCGTTTAAGTCAACTAAAAGGTGGCAACAACTATGCTTCGTCAACCCCTAGAAATCATTCCCAGGGAAGTTTGTGGTTTTCTATTCTTGCGGTAAGACTTTAGAAGATTAACACTTACCGCAAGATACCCGCTCACATAATAAGCGCTTACGCCCTTATGTTTATCAACTCAGGAAGTACTCTTTGTCACAGATACACAGTTTGTTCCTTTTTTAATCAGTAGAGACCGTGCATTGCTTCTACGCCGCTTGACTGGATGGCATTCAAAACAAAGGAATTTCCTACGACAGACTGAGCAGCTTGCGGAAGTGGCAGCATTTTTAAAATGGAAAAGAGTTCCCATTCCAGGTGTTTACCGCGCTGTACATATTCCATATTGGACATATTCCATCCTCTCTTATAAGCTGGTAATTTACCAAGTAACTTGATAGATAATACAGAGAATAATGATAAGACCCTTCAATGCGGAATCTCCTTGTTTAGTTGGCTCGTCACGTTTTGTAACCAAAAAAGGATTCCTTTGCAGCAAAAGATTATTGTTACTCAGGTCAATTAACATACTAATTCTGATTTTTCTTTTTTTATTCCAATGTGTTTATCTGAAATTCTTTTGGTCATTTAAAAGTGTTTTTTTGTTTCAATTACTTCTTATACCCGGATAGTATAGCTGAAGAACTTCAAAGATCTACTCGCTAAATCTCTTCGGACTGCGACGTCTGAAACTCGCAAAGACGCTAGCCAGAATCTTTCGCGCAGAAAAAGCTCTTATATTTACAAAGTTATGTAACTTTCTGAATTTAGAATTTTTTGAATTCTTAAACGGCACCGCTAAGAAGTGTTCCTCCCAGCCTTGCAACAAAACTAACAATCTAGTCAATTGCTGACGTTTCAATTGGTATTTAGCTTTCACTCTGTAGATGGCGTCGTCAAAGTGTAACCGTTTAAATCGAAGTAAGTGAGCAAAACTTTTCTTATTTGCTGTTCAGTTGCTTTCTAGTAATGTAAAGTGACTTGTACTGATTTCAGCTTAATCAGAGGCATCCAACGACTTTTTAAAGGAGCAATATTGCCTAGAAATTTCTATAACATAAAAAAGGCTGAAATATTTTGGGAAACCGTAAATTTGTTCCATTCATCGTAAGTATTCGGAGTTTTTCTGTTGGAAAGTGGATTTTTCACATTTCATTCACAAGATTTGGCGATTATTGGTAAAAAAGTCACCTGAAAATTTCTGCATAAAGAAAAATCCTCCCCTAAAATTTTCTAATGATAGTAGGGTTACTCTGTGTCCTCGCATTTTCCTCAAGACCCGTCGGGATAGCTAAAACTTTCGAACAGATAGATAGTATAGGGCAGCTCTCGAAACAGACATCTAAAGTATAGAAAAATCCATTTTAGACTGTAGTTCTGAAAAGTTTCGTTCGTTGGGTGTCCCTTTTTAATGCAAATTTAAGTGGCTTTTCATTTGAACTGAATACTAGGGAACATAGTCATTACCTGCCATTCTCTCAGCCAATGCGAGCGCTTCTGAAGTCGGTGCTATTTTCAGGATGCGACTTGCACCTCGTGTATCTTTCAGGATGTTTTCAATCGAAAAAGGATGGCGATCCATGTCTCTGCGATTCCTAAGGGGCAAACCTCGAATGTTAGTCATGAATTGGTCACGCTCAATGGCTTAATTAATTTATTATTGAAAAAGAATGTTGTTTCAAGAATGTGTTTTAGCTTAGAGTTGAGTAATCCTCTTAACGTAAATATATTGCATTTGCTCCAGAGCAATGGGCTAAATTTTGTAGGATATGACGCGTTTTTTTGTCACCTAATAATAAGCTTCAGGCTCCGACATTACACTTTATTGTCTCGACTGCCCAAAAATGTTTTTCGTTTCACGAGCTCAGATATAAAGAACCACGCGTGTTCACAAGAAAATTAGGCAATAGCTCTGCCCGTTAAGTCACTGTCAAATGTTTAGGAACTCTGTCGAAAGCTGTTGGAAAAGAGGTCCTCAGGTCGTTTGTGCTTACAAGAATAAAGAATATGGAAATAATTTCTCACAGGAACGACTGACGATATGCTAGTTCAGTAAACTGACTAACATTTCTATATACCGATACACTCCTTTGTCACCAAGTGGGCACTCAAAGCAGATGAAGGCAGTTCTAAAAAGTACTTGTAAGCTAAACAGTGTAAACACTTTAACCGATTGTTGAATTCATAAGTTCAGCCGATAGACTGTTATACTGAACTTAAGATATACTGAATTACCTTTTGGTAGACTTGAGATGTTGATGACTTGAATTTCTCTCTTCGCTTTCACCAACGTGTCAGTAAACTGATAGACTGCTGTATATTGCGTGGCTCAGTGATCATTTAAGCTGCACTGACAGGGAGGGGCCTAGTGATAACATAATAAGCGTGCTGTCAGGAAATGTCGTGAAAAATGAAGGCGGCATGCCCATCATGAATAGAGTGTCGCGGACTTGTCTTTTCCTTTATTTCGCGGTGATTTACGGCACAATCAGTCGGCCGAAATGATGTGCGGAAAGTAACGAAAGGGTTCTGCTATTGTTCTAGACGCTTCAAGGTTTAATCGCGGGAATTGTTGGATTTTAAATTGCGCGAAATTGTGGAGGCCTTTGAATGCCAACACGAAGATTTAATTTGGTGCGGCTGAACGCCTGAAGGAGCAGCGGGTTATGTTAATTCCTAGTTCAACAAAACCGCACGATTTTAGTCAAAAGAACGGAGGAAAGACAAATACTGAAATCAAACAAAAATCGAAATGAAAATTGTCTTTTTCTTGAACCCTTAAGTGAATTTTTAACGTCTCTTGCTTGGTCGCGCGCGAGATTGTAATCGTTTGTTATCGTAAAAGTTTTTGTTAAGAGTTTTAGGAAAGTGAATTGCTTTCTGCGGAAACATAAATCGTTTTATCTGAACAATGGATTTCTTTTAGGCCCTTTGCCGATAAATCCGATGTGTGCCCACATCCTGCAAGTGCAAATAACCGTTAGCGCATTTCATTGTGTCAGCAAAAGACTTTATATTTCTGCCGGGAGATTAGCTTAATTCCCTTATTAACCCAAGTCACGCATCCAATTTGACGTCACGGCAAAATCTGAAGGACCTTGGAAACAAACAAATAGTTTAAAAGTGGGTAAATTGCTACTTCACTTCGAGTAGTTTAAAGAACCAAACCAATTTTTGTTTTCATTCCTTTGATATACCCTGGTGAGAAACAAAAGCATGATAAGTTGCCCTCATGAAAAAAGAGGTATTATGGCTAATAGACCCAGTGTTGACTTGACCAATTTTCACTATAAACGCCTTGTAAGCTGGTCGGAAATAATTGAGGTTACGATATCTGCCCCCCGCCCGGCATCGATCATCGCATTATTTTCTGATCACGTATCGCTTGTCACGCCGATGAGTGTGTTATTAGCCTCACCTGTGGGGTTGATTCTTTACAAGGACTTTCAAACCAATGAAAACCCGATTAATAGAATCCATTGTTATGAGATTACATCACAATAACGTTGTGCTACTTTGATAAGAGAATTATTAATATAATTTCACACAGTAAAGTGAATCAAGCTCAGACGGATGAATAGCTGTCATACGGCTTTTAGAAATCGCATCTTTGCGGCAAAAAAAGCCCTTGCTTTCCAATCGCGTGACATTAATGAAGGAAGTAATTGCAGTCTAATCGAGAGGAGTACATGAATGAAAGAAACTTCCGAAAGACTTTTTGTCATATGTTTTTTCTAAAGCAAAGTAAATGTAACGAGTTCTTTAGTTTCTTTCAATACATAGTAACCTCAGCCGAAACAGAGACTGAATTACTTATAATTCATTTTATCGGCCCAAAGCAAGATACCGAGAAGAAGAGCTTCGACTGAGATTATCAGGAGGTTGTTTTATGAACCAATTAATAAACGAAATAATATCTGAATTGTCCAGCTTCTCCGACAGAAGTTCCTCTTCAATGTATAACAGCCTTCCAAGTTCTTCTTATTTGGCGAAACAAAACATCTATAGACAAGCTTTTGTCAAAGTCATAATGATACCCTGGATGATTCAGCGTGCCGATTCCTTGATTTCTTAATTTTAACTGAAATATAGTTAGCCAAAGGGCAATGGTGAACGCTGTTTAGCTTAGTGGTATTCGTTGTTTATTTCACAAGGCACTACTAAACACGGTTCGTACAGGTCATGAAAAACCTGCTGGAAAGTCATGGAATTTAATTGTTGGTCTTGGAAAGTCATAGAAAATTAAGTTTTGTTTGGTAGATAAGTTACTGCAGATGACAAGGCAAGGACAATTTAAGATAAAGAGGAGTAAGTAACCAGCGCAAACGGCACACATTTTGGTGGACACCAGAGTTTGTGTTTGTTGAACTATAAATACCCTAAAACAACTTAGGACAAGTTTTTAAAACTTTTGAATGTAACAGCTAAACTGAAGGCCTTGGAAAACTTAAAAAGGTCATGGAATTTGAAGAGCTCAAAAAAGAAAGAACCCTGGTAAAGATTTTAATCTTGCGCTGAAATGCTAAATTGTAGCATTTCAAGCAGGTATATGTTAATGGTACGGTGAGCACTCTCACGACATTTTCATCCATGGAGGGAGAAAAAAGGTTGTCGTAACAAATCCAAATCGTCAAAGACATGAAGTCATTTGAGAAAGTGAATTCTTGGTTAGATATAGTTTAACTGTTGCAAAAAGTGAACTGAGAAAGTACACTTTAAGCGGACTTCGATAATAGATCAGTGTACCAAATATGTGTAATAAATCATCGGACCCCTAGCAAGGGGTCTTCGTATTGCACCAATCTATATAATAAAATTGATAAGGTGGTGAAACACAGTTTTCTGTTTTCAAACGTTTCACGCCCTGAATTTTATTATTTCTTAAGTCTGCATTGAAGACTCACATGAACAAAATAAAAAGAAACCTATAGTTCCACAGGTACGATGTTTTTATCGAGAGTTTCGCGCGCTGTGTGAGGCGTGGCCACTCACGTTTCCACGAGAAACTGGGTTTAGAGAAATAGTTATGCCAAACCTGTGCCAAACTAACCCTTTTTAGTGGCTGTTTAGGAGGAGGGAGGAAGGTTCTATAACCAGTGAGATCCTATAAGGCGGATGATCCTAGTGTCATATGTATTCAGTTTACATGTAAAAGGTTGTACTTGTCCCTTGCGCTAGGATCTTTTTTCCTAGCTGAGAGAAAGGAAGCTACATCCTAGCACGAGGAAGATTCTAGTCTCCATGAAAACTGCTTTTCAGGCTAGGAGGATCCTAGTACTAGAGACAAACCAGACACAAATGGCGGCGGGTCGTTCAGTGGGTAATCACGACAATGATAGCTGCGGACAATTTTGTTTAGCGTTATCATGAGCTGATGAACAGCCAGCTGCTGTTGAAAGGTAGTTATTGACAAGGCCAGGAGCCCATATGGGCTCCTGACAAGGCAGAGGGACCCAAATGGCATGCTGTTTATTATTGTCACCCGCCAGCTTTAATTCCTCCTCTACTAGGTAATTACACGGACCGAAATCAGTTTCTGCATGTAAACCTAACAAAAAGTTGTTCCATCTCCTTTGATCTTCCTGGTGCTAGGATCTTGACCCCTCCATAAAAACAATCTCTTAGAGACAAAAGAGTCGGTTGCGCTAAAGCAAACGAAAAGAGGCTGAAGAAAGAGTTTGTGTAAACGGTCCCTTATGAAGATACCGATTTGTACAGCGATTAGTCAAGCAAATGTTCCTAAGGCAACTTTCTCATTTTTTAAGACTAAAAAGGCACACAACCAGTTTTGATTCTTTTCAATTCGCTACAGTTCTAAAGTACATTTGCGTCGGCCTATAAAGTTTGTAACTGTCGAATTTTTAAGAAAGAAATCTTGACTCTAGCTATTTTGTATAAGTCAATTTCAATTGCTGGCAAAATCCTAATATGTTTCAGAATCCCTTCATTCGCGGTATTTGCTGTAATTAATAATATAATGTTATTATTAAATTCCATCTATGAATTATCGCCACGATCAGCTGTTACGAATTGTTATCTGCGGGCAGCGTTGTAATTCATCTTGTCAATTATGTGAACAAAACATAGTGTGTAACTCTTGTGGGGTCCACTTTTCTTAACATTGTCGAGTGTACATTGGATTAAAGAGTTTCTGTACGTAAAAGATCAAAAACAGAAAGCGGAACACGTACGCTAGCTTATTAGGAAATGCGAGCAGGTGAAAGGAAACAGGGAATGACCGGCACCGCTTCCTTCATCATTGAACTTGTGGTGTGGTCCATCAAACTCTGCGGAGCCGATAAACTTACAAAAGGCTTAACAGCAAAGTCACCGACATTAATTTATTTGTTCTTAAACTTCTTAGCGTGGAACTACACAGCTTTTTTTGGTGATTACTGTCACGATACCTTGTGGTTGAACATATATGCACTGTTTATCTCATCAATGACTCAATGAAGAGTAACAAGTCTTCGCGGTTGCAACTAAATTTAAGTTGGCCAATTGAGTTTTAAATGCAAGTCAAAGAAAAATGATGATGTTCGTAGAAGAATTTCTCTAGTGAATCGTAGTTTAACAGTGTTT